AAGTCTCAGTTAAATATATATGGAAGAGTATAGGAAGAGACTGAGAAAGGGGGTTCTAGGGGCCAGGCGTTTCAAGGTGGAAGAACAGGTATTGCTGGAACCATGGGGAACTAAAAGGATGAAGGGATCTAGGCAGTGAGGGTTGTTTGAATTTAATATCACAAGTGAAGTAGTTATAGGGGATGGTGGTGGCAAGGCCAGGAGTACACGACTGAAGGCGTGGAGATGAAAGTTACTGGAGCTAAGGAGGTAAACACATTAAGAGGCCAGGGTTTGGGATTACAGTCCAAGCTCTTCCCTTTTCTAGCCATGTTATCTAAATCAAGGCAGTCAATCAACAAACATGTCTTGTTTTGTCTACTCTGTGCCAGCACTGTGGACACAGCAGTGAACAGATAGTCAGAGACTTGTCTTCAAAGAGCTTATGTGCCAGTGAGAAGAGATTTAAAAATGTAAACAAATGAATAAGATACTTTACGTACCATTATGTGCTTCAAAGAAAATAAATCAGTAAATAATATGGAGAGGGGCTGCTTTATCTAAGATGGTCAGGGATGGCCTAACGGAAGATGATGTTGAGCCTGAATGATGGGAAGGTGGCAGTCAAGCAAAGAACTGGGAGAAAGTGTGGCAAGCAGAAGAGCAGCAAGTGTGAAAGACCTCAGGGGTGAGCTCAGTGCAGTTAAGAGATACAAAGAAGATCATGGTTGAACTGCAGTAAATGGCAGGGAGAGTGTCGGGAATTGATGTCAGAGACGGGCAGATTGGATCATTTAGGGCCTTAAACTACCATTCAAGAGACTTTAAAGTTTGTTCTAAGCGTGATAGAAAGCCACAGGCAGGCTCTAATGGGGGATATGTGAACTGATTTATGCTGCTATGTGAAGGTAAACTATGAGGGGCAGGGAGTGGAGAGCTAGACACCACTAAGGAGGCACTTGCAATTTCCAAGGCAAGAGATGATGGTGACTTGGGCCAGGTTGTTAGCAGGGGAGACGGTAAGAAATGGTGGGATTCAGGATATACATATTCTGGAGGTACAGCTGATGAAACTTGCTAATGGATAGGATCAGGTGAATGAAAATGAGAGAGGAATGAAGGATGACTCCTAGGTTATTGACCTGAGAAATGAATGGATAATAATATGGGGGGCAAAATCCACAGTTCTATTTTAGCCATGTTAAATTTGAGATGTCTGTGACTTCTTCATGTGAATTTACAGTAGGTTGTTAGAGATTTAAGTCTGGATCACAAGGGAATAGTCAAACTAGCTTCTTAGATTTGGGCATCTCGGAATATCAGATAGTGCTTCAAGTCACGGTACTGAATGAGATCACGTCACGAGTGGGAATAGGGAGAAATGAAAAGAGGTCTGAGGACTGAATCCTGGAGCACTGCAACATTTAGAAACGTGGAAGAGAAGGAAGATTCAGCAGAGGAGACTTAGAAAGAACGGCAAATGAGTCTGGAAGAAAACAGAGAGCATGTGGTATTCTAGAAGCCAAGGGAAGATGTTTCGAGACTACAAATCAGATTAACTATTTCTCCTCCCTGGCTGGGACTAGAGACACAGCTTGAACAGAGAGTCAGGGAGAGGGGATTTGGGCTTTCTCCCTTATATCCTTCCTCTTTTCCTTCTCTGTGAACCTATTGAGCTTAATAGCCAACGCTGTTAAGACTAAGCCACCTCTGTGGCCCTTATCTTTGAGGAAGGAGATCAACATAGCTCAAGAGAGTCTTGTATAGACAGGAACAGAAAGAATTCAAAATAAAAAATAATGTTTCATTAAGAGCTTCAGACAAAGAGTCTTCAGGATTTTCACATTGTCTTTCTGATAGGGAAATTAGGGAAGTCTTCATGGAGGAGGTTATGCTCATGTTAAAGTACACACACTCACACACACACACACTCACACTCACACTCACGCAAAAGCAGGGACTTGAGCATATGGAAATAGGCAGGACAGGTATCTTAACCAGAGGCTCTAGCTTAAGCAGGGCACAGAGGAAGAAACGTGCAGCCTGTGTGTGGAGGACTCCAGTCAGTTCAGTATGGCTCACAAATGGGTTGGTTGATTGATTCCATTCTCCAGCATGAGCACACGCAAGAGACACTCAGTGCACTGGTTCTTTGCCACAGATGAAAACGTAGATAGAGCCAGAGACTCAAAAGATTAGCTTTGGGTTTCTAGATGCCTCCACTGGCATTGTTGCCTCTCCAACCTTTAATCCAAGTTTGTTAAAATCCTTGAAACTTCCCTGGTCTCCAAAAAGGAAGGGTAGCAACGAGATTCTATTGAAGTCCTAAATCCCCAATGGCCCAGCTTAATCGAATGGACATATTTCATTAAACAAATGCCTTTGCCATCTGCTAGACTCCAATTAGGAATGCATGAGGAACATGTTTCTCAATTATGTTGGAGAAGATGTCTGGGCTCAGAGGCCCTGGCGAACAGCCTTTCCTCAGGCAGTGCTCAACGGGGAGACTGCTGCCAGCTTGTGGTGGCCCTCATGTTTTTTCATGTCTTCTCTCAACTCCACCATTAACTTTGTATTACTGCGTTTCCCTCTGAGTTAGAACTGATCTGATCCAGCACTCCAAACAAATGCTACACGCTGCTTTGAAATCATTGTACTTATTATTGTAACTAACATTTATTGAAATCTTGGTTATGGCCAGGTGCTTTGCTAAGCATTTTGTGTGGAATATTTTATCTGAACCTTAAAGCTTCTCTATTAAGTAAGTAGGATCCCCATTCTGTGGATGAGGAAACTGAGGCTTAACTCTCTTAAATAATTTAGCTGAGGTCCCACAGATTGTGAATGATGGAGCTGGGGTTTGAACATAAGCAGCCAGGCACCACAGTGCATGTTCTTACCCGCTGTGCATTAGTAGAAGTATCATACACTGACAATGTGCAGAGGGTGATATGGGTGCCATCTGACTTCCAGTGACCTCGCAGTCTGGTGTGGAAGAGACAAGGAAATTAATCAGGATGGGTGGAGCAAAGAAGTACTGAGCATACATTGGAAATGAAAGATTTACCCCCCAGGATTCCAAGTCAAAACATTGATAGAGTGTACTTGGAGTGTAGTATCCTATCCTAGAAATGTGGACTGCAGAACAACCTACTACATGTCTACCCATCTATGGCCTCAACTCCTAAACCTCTTTGTTATTCAACCAGTCAGCTGTGCTCACCCTTAGGCCTGGCTCACAGCATTGTGATTTTCTAATTTGACAAATTTATGGGCACCCATCTCAGATGCCTACCTCACACTGTGCAATGATCCTTCTACCTGTCCCTAGTCTCTCATTGCTCAGGAAAGTTTTTACCAATCTTCCTCACTGTCTCCAAGCCTCCAATCTCACCAGCTGGTCTTCCCTGTTGAAAGGTAGCTTTGCCATCTACTTCACAGGGAAAATAGAGGCCATCAGATGGTGGCTCCTCTCGCTGCCTGCTCGTCTCACTAGTTTCTACCCCTGACTCATTCTGTGCCATTGCAGGAGAATAGTAACAAAACTGCCTACTGACATTTATTTAGCACATTTCATAAACCAGACACTACTAAATGTCTACCTGTATTAACTCACTCAATCCTCACAACCAGCTTATGAGAGGAAAACTGTTTTTAATCCTTATTTTACAGATATGAAAAATGAGGTTAAGAAAGGTTACACAGTTCTTCCTCAGGACTATGAAGACTTTTGCCTTCTCATTGTATATATATTGTCCCTATGAAGCTGCATCTTCTATGATGTCACTCACCATCTATACACTCATGGCCAAATCTATATTTCCAGCTAGAATTCTCCTTAAACTCCTGTTTATTCAGGTGCCCAATAGATTTCCACTGGCATCTCAAAATTAAACTTAGCCTCTATGCCCATCATCACCATCCCCAGAATTAGCCATTTTGCTACATTTCCTATCTCTATGGAGGGTACCAGTATTAGAAGTCATGGTGAGATTAAGATAATGATGTGATGGTGTTTGGTTAAGTGGGAAAAGAAGAATCTTGTCCTCAGCTGGCCACTAGTCCCTACGGGATCCTTAAGGGAGATTTGTACAAAGCAGAGGGAATAATCTGATTGTTAGCTGTGGTTTTGGACCCCACACCTGGTATAGAACTGGAAGTGAATCAAGCTGGACTTGTGGGGGATTCATTTCTTTATTCCTGGCTGAATTTGAGTATTCTTGAAACAAGGCAGATTGAAAGATCTGTTCTCTTTCCAACCAATGCCCAAACTGGAATCCTCGCTCTCATATGACAAGCCATAGACAGGGGAGCACAGAGAGACAGTGTGTGTAAAAATTTGTAGTCCCTTGCCCTAGGCTTTTACAGGCTAGAAAATAGATGCCCTAGAGACAGAGAAAGAGAAAAGCATGGCTGGACTTTTTTCCAGAAGAACAGTCTGTATTAGACATTCCTTTCTGGAGGCTCCTGGGAAAGAGGATTAGTTAGATTCTGGGTGTGGAATGAGATAGAAGGGTAAAGAGCCCATTTGTTTATATTGCAGCCTATCCTTTTGAAAGCTCCACTCACTGACACTGGAGCACCATACAAGGTCCTGGAATTTAGCTGTACACGTCAGCATTCCTCCTCTTTGGTGCTGGCATATCTTGTCCTTGATCTCAACCCTAGGGAGGAGAAAGGAAGAGGCTTATGTGAGGAATAGTGAGAGACTTTGAATTCCTTCTTTTACAAGTCCTTCTTTTATTAGCTGTGTGGCCTTTTTGTTTTTTAACCTCTCCAAGCCTCAGTTTATTCATCTGTACAATGGGGATAATGACTCTACCTGGTACATAATAAGCCATCAGTAACACGCTGTGTGGGGGTGGAGGAGCGGGATTGAGAAGGTTGAGGCACTGGTAGCAGAGTGTCAGGTGTGGTCACGGTGTTGGTAGAGGAGGTGGAAGTGGTCATAGTGGTGACAGTGGTGGTCCTTGTGGTGGGTAATAATCACCTACTGTTCGTCAGAATAGAGAACTCTCTGATTTTTACTCCTCCTTCTTGCTGAACACATTTATTTCATCAACAGCTATCGATTTTATTTCATTAATTCATTTCAGGTCTCATATCACCATCCTTGTTAGAACCCGTGTCATCATTTCTTTCGGCCCCAGAGATGACATGACTTTCCAAGGAGTACACAATGAAGATCCAGTGCTGGTCTAGGTACTCTTATTTCATGTGCTTTTCCCTCCACCTGGGGTACTAAGGCAGACTAGCTAAGAGCCAGGATGCCTGGGTTCAGTCGTGGCTCCCATACGTACTAACTCTACCTGGGCAAGTTACTCACCCTCTTTTACCCACCAACAAAGTGGGCAGTAATAGTAATACCTACCACATGGCTTATTATGAGGATTAAATATGGTAATGGGTTTAAAGTAAATATTAGTTTCCTAGGGCTACTGTAACAAAGTGCTGCAAACTAGGTGTCTTAAAACAACAGAAATTTATTGTCTCACGTTTCTGGAGGCTGGAAGTCCAAAATCAGGGTGTTGGCAGGGCCATGCTTCTTCTGACGACTGTAGGGGAGAATGTTTTCTTGCCTCTTCCAGCTTCTGGTGTTGCCAGCAGTCCTTGGTGTTCCTTGGCTTGTAGATGCATCGCTCCAGTCACATAGCTGTCTTCCCGTTGTCTTCCCTTTGTGTGTGTCTGACTCTGTGTCTGAATTCCCATTTTTAAGAGGACACCAGTTATACTGTATTAGGGCTCACCCTAATTATGTTGTTATAACTTGATTACCTCTGTAAAGACCCTATTTCCAAATAAGGTCACATTGTGAGATACTGGGAGTTAGGACTTCAATATATCTTTTTTTGGGGTGGACACAATTCAACCTGTACCAAAGTGCTTTGCCCAGTCTTGGATATAGAGTAAATGTCAATAAATATTCTCCTTCTTACCAAGGAGCTTCTTCTATCAGAGGAGGGCTCGGCAATGAGGAACAAGACTGACAGCTTTGGCTCAGCAATTGCTCACGTTACACAATTACACATTCAGCTCTGGAGGCAGGCGGCCTCTGTGTTCTCAGGGAACATCATCAATATTGTGACTCTCAGACATGTGTCAGCCACAGGGCTCTCCAGGGCTCCTTCTCTGGGGATTCTTGTGAAGATGGAAAATTAGCCTCCAATCCTGGGCAGTCTGAGTGATGGCTTTCCCAGAGGCAGGAGGGTGAGAGGATCAGAGTGTCAGAGCTGTCAGAGACCTCAGATTCCAGCTCACCCAATTCCCTCATCTTAGAGATGAGGAAACTGAAGCCAGCGAGGGAGAGCCACTTTCCTCAGCTCACCCAGGAAGTGTGAGGTGGAGACAAGGTCAGAGTCCTTGCTTCTTAGTTCCTACTCAATGCTGCTTCAGCCTCATCCATCTCCCACTGCCAGGATTGTTATTGTTTTTGTTTTCTTGTTTACTTTGTACAAAGATTCTCTCTTTGAATTTCTCCACCTGTACAGTGGTAGAGTTGCTCTAGGCCAGCACTGTCTAATAGAAATATGTAAGCCTCACAGGTGATTTTAAATTTTCTTTCTTTTCCTTAAATAAACTGGTGAAATTAATTTTTAATACTTTGTTTAACCTAGTATATCCAAAATATTATTTCAACATGCAATCGCTGTATGATTGTTAATGAGATATTTCACGTCGTTTCTTATTGAATCTTTGTGATCTCATGTGTATTTTACAGCACATCTTAATTTCAGCTCACCACAATCCGAGTGCTCAACAGCCACACGTGACCAGAGGCTGCAGTGTTGGACAGCAGAGCTCTCGGGCAATGGTTTCCAGTGCAAGTCTGCCAGTCTACGATGAAAAGGTGGGTGTTAATGGATAGTTTCTACTTTCTGAGAAAAGACTACCCTTCATTCAAATTTATGTCCTTTCTCTCCTGAAATTTTTGGTCAAATGTCTCCGTCTCCTTAAATTAAATGATGGTGATGCATAGTTGGAAATTTTTCTGATTTTGTTTTTAAAATGTTTTTATTTGGCAAAATAAGGAGCTGGGAACACTAGACCAGTTCTGCATTAAGAAAAAAAAATATACATATATGTATATGTGTGTTTGTATGTATATGTATAAATGTTTGCATGTATATATGTATATACATATGTGTAAAATGCTGGTAAGCCCTAAGGGGGAAGACACTCACTTGCTCAAAGCTATTTGCCTGGTACCTAACACTATACTTGATTCAATAGACACTCAGTAAATAGAGGTTGAACAACAACAGGAATGTTCTGCATGCCTACAACATTTCATTTCGGGTAGTTTTTTCACATACCAGGCAAAGAACAAGTCAAGTTTATCTGATCCTTTTTTACCTGGACGTTGGCTCCCACTGGGGCAATACTGGGTTCTGTGGCATGTGAGTTTTTTGGTATTTGTAAGCTCTGGAAGATTCTGTGCACTTTCTTCTGGGCATACCTAGCAAAGAAGCTGTCAGGTGAGTCTGCCATCAGCATTGCACTGGGACCCACGAGGTGCATCCTGGTCATATCCCCTCTGCTCATTAGCTAAGCGATCTTGGGAAAGCCACTTACTTTTTTTTTCTTTTCATTTATTTGTTTATTTTCGGATGTACATCATAATGTATTTCGAATTCTGTGTAGATTACATCATGTTCACCACCTGAAAACTAGTTACAGTCCATCCCCTCACAGGTGAGCTTAATCTCCCCTTCTGCCCCCCCTCCTCCCCCCTCCCCCCCATGGTAACCACCAGTCCAATCTGCAGTGCTATGTGTTTGTTTGTCGTCGTTTTTATCGCCACTTACATTTTAACTCAGTGGACTTATTAGTCCTAGGTTGAATTTCCAGTTGGTGGCTTCAGACTGAAATAGGTTTGTCAAAACTGTCAAATGCTAGCCGGGCTGGGTCCATGATCTCTGGAGGGCTCATACAGCCTTTGGGCAATGGGGAAATCTTGTCAGAAACTGTGTTGCTTGTGACTCTGGATTCTGAGAAATATAAACTTGTTAGAGGAATAAAGGTTACCTTGTTTTCGTCCAAGGTCACCAGTGAGTCACTGGCTGTGCCTAGAATAGAAATTGGCTCAGGAAAACAACGATGACTGTTTTTGAACATCACCCAGATATTTGTTAGACAATGAATATTTTTTAATGGATATGGTCTATGGGTCCCAAGGAAACAGACCCAAATAATTATGGAAGAAGAGTCCAAACAAATTGAGGCCTTGCCCCAGGAGCAAACACCTGGGTCTCTGGTCCCTCAGCCTGGGGGAAATGTTCTGGAAGGGAGGGAGCACCAGACTGGGAGCCAGTAGCCAATGTATGATGAGAGCTCTCCAGGCTCAGTCATTCCCTGTGAAGAGCAAGTCATTCACCTCCTGGGGCTCAACTTTCCTATCTGTGAAATGGGACAAGCAAGTCTTTCTCTACAGGCTCAGCGAGTTGCTGTGAAGAGGAAATAAGCAAAGCGATGTCAAAATGCTGAAAACTGTCAGACTTTTCTCCCCTTGCTTTGTCTTCCTTCTTTCCTTCTAGCTCTCCTCCTCTTATATCATCTTTACTGGGCATCTGCTATGTTTCAGGTATGGAATTAGCTATGAAGGACACATATGTAAGACACTTGGCCCATGTCATGCTTTCAAGGGATATTAGAATTTACTTGGAGAGATAGCCATAGAAATACATGAATGTAATACAATGCTTTCTAACAACATTCCTTCAACACTTGCTATGTGCACAGCACTATTCTGAGCACTTATATTAACTCATTTAATCCTTATACTAACGTGAGAGTACCAAGGGTATTAGTATTTCCTCTAGTTTTGAAGAGGAGGAAAGCAAAGCCCAGAGAAGTTAGGTAACTTGCCCAAGGGTACAGAGCGATTGATTCTGGGTGGTCTGGCTCTGGAGCCAGTTTCCTTAGCCATCCAGCACCACGTGTATACAGTACAGTAGAAGCAAGAAAGAAGGGGGTCATTAGTTGTCCCCAGACGCCCCAGGCTGCTCTTGCTTTGGGCCTTTTGTGTTTGTTCTTCCTTCTCCCAGGACTCTTTCCCCAGTTCTCTGCATGGCTGCTTCCCTGACTCAGATGTCACCTCCACAGAGGCCTCCCCTGGCAACCCCATCAATTATAATTGCCTCCCCTCCCTCGGCTGGTAACTCACTCTTCTACTTCCCATACTTTTTCTCCTAACATGGAGCACCGCCTGAAATGATATATTTATTAGTTCACTTTATTTTTGCCTGCCTTTCCTGACTTGATTATGATGTCTACAAGGGCGGGAATCTTGTCTGTCTTGTTCACTGCGGTGTCTTCAGCCCTTAGAACAGCGCCTGGCATGAGGTGACAGCTCAGAGAGTATACTTGCAGAATAAATAAGGGTGGGGTGGGAGGGGGCGCTGATGAGATGAGGCTGTTCCAGTGGGGAGGACCCTGTAATGAAGATCTTGAAAGGACTGTAGGCCATTCTTATAACCACCTTCCTAACAGGGTTCTCCACTGGGGCAATACCGCCCCTCCCCTAGGGGGCACCTGGAATCGACAGGGCCGTTTGGTTGGTCACAGTGGAGAGTGGCACTGTTGCCATTTAGTGGACAGGAGGTTAGGGATGCCATTTTTCCTGTGATATATAGAACAGCCCAAAAAAGGCCCCATCCAAAATGACAATATCACTCCCAAATCCCCTTAAGCAGCACATGAGTGTTTAATAAGAATGGCCTTCAGGGGACTGGGCCAGAGCGCTACTCCACTCTTAGCCTTTTAGCAAAAAGAAGGACTTAAAATGGAGTTTGGGTTTATTCACCTGTAAAGTATAGGTCTTTGCACTGGGTTACCTGTGCTAATGGAGGAGAAAAGCCTGCAACTGCAGGGTGATTTGCTTTTTAGTTAGGGTCTCATATTAGGCACCTCTTCCCACATGTAAAACTTATTATTATTGCTATTTTCATGAAAAACATCTTAGCCATGATTTCATTTGCCTCTGATAATTCCCCCTGTGAAGTAATGGGGCAATAAACTAAAAAAATATTATGTATCTATGTGTCTGTCTCCTTTCCTTCTTTTCCTTCCTTCAACCCTCCCTCCCTCCCTTCTTTCCTCCCTAACTTAGCTGTGAATTTGAAGATAGGGACAGAATCTCTGTATTCCTGAGCCTCAGCTCAGTTCTGTCTATAGGAGGTCCTCAGTGTGCCTATTTGGTGAATGAATGAATGAGTAATCAAAGGAGTGAGCCAGCACCTACGTCTCCGCGGGTGTCAGTTGCTTGTGTTGAAAAGGAGCAGATATGCCCAGCTCCCTGAAGCCAGCTGGTGTGCCCCAGTCCTACAACAGCCCCACCCCCCCAACCAAGACCAAGTGTGAGTCTCTGTGACCTGCCTTGTCCCAGGGTAGGCAGAGGTAAATTCTGCCGAGGGTTAAAGCTGGATTAACAGCCCATGAACATTTTATTTCTCTCCTGGCTGAGCACAGTAAATATCGATGGTAATATAATGTTCTTTCTCACTGGGGAGAGAGTGAGGGAAACAAGAGAGGAGGAATTGACCTTTTAGCTTTGAAAGAAAAGAATATTGAAGAGACAGTGTCCCGTGAAAATACGCACATGTACACACTTACACATATGTGCATACACACGCACATGCAGGTGGTAACATTTCTGGGATGATCTTCTCTTGGTACAGCAGATATTTTTAACCTTTTCTGGATTATGAGATCCTTAGAAGAATCTAGGTGAGAACTCTGCACCTCTCCCTAGGAAAACACATATGTGCACATGCGTGTTAAGTTTGTCATATGATGTCATGGAACTCAGAGACCCACTGAGGAGTGTCTCTGGACTCAGTAAGGAAGAGATGCAGTCATTCACATTTAGAATTTTATCTGCAGGTATATCTTTCTTGGCTTAAGGGTGATTTAAAATTTTATTAAATTAGTTGCCAAGAACTAAAATCAGAGAGTTCCACAGGCATTCCAGGGATCAAAATGTCTGGCACTCTTGGGCTCGCATGGTGGCCATCAGATGGGTTGAATTGTGCTGTTTTTTTTAAACATAGAAAAGGCTCCTTATTTGTTGACAACCCTTCCTTCCTCTAACCCTCGCTATTAGGCCTTGAGTTTTGTCCCCAAACCGAGGAGGGGTTAAGGTCAAGAACCCATGCCCCTTAATGTTTCTTTTGTTGGGTTCCAGAAAGAGAGGTCTCCAGGAAACCGTGAGGTCAAGTATCCTTGGAATCTGCTCTTGAAGCAAATCCCACATGGAGCCCAGTATATAACACTGATAAAGGAGAAGGTGCTCTGTTTAAATGGGGGGCAGTGGGCCCAATATCCCTGCCAGTTAGTTTGGCCTGCCCTAGCCCTGCTTTAGCGGCCCCTAAGCCCCACTGGGGAACCTCCAGGACTCTACAGGGCAGGTTCGAAAACTTCTGTGTATCATTCAGAGTGCTTCAGTTGCACGTGACGGAAACCCGACTTGAACTAACTTTAGCTGAAAAGATAATTTATGGGTTTAGGTGATTTTGGGTATGTGTCCTCAGAGAGGGCTGGATCCAGGAGCACAGAGGATGTTATTGGGAATCTCCATTGCTCTTTGCTTTCCTCCAAGTTGCTTTCATTCTCAGGAAGCCTCTTCCTAGGTGGGAGACAGATGACCCCCAGCAAGGCTCTAGGTGTGTATCATCTCTACAGCTAGCAATCCTGTTGGGAAAATAGCTTCTCCTTCCTAATAGTTCCAACAGAACCTGGGATATGGTTTCCTTGGACCATTTGGGGTGAGTGCCCATGCCTGAGTCAATCACTATGACCAGGAAAATGGAACCAGCATTGGCCAGGCCTAGATCATCTGTTCCAGGGATC